TTTKKKGRWTTTTTTTTTTCRTTTTTGGAAATGCTTACCTATTAAAATGAGATGGTGTGTAAATACAGTTGCATTCTACAGGCCCAGAAACAGAGTGCTGGGGGTTTAAATAACTTAATCTGAGACATCTGGTTGAAGATTTTTGATACATGAGACTTTCACTGTCTTCTACACAAAGTTCTGTACTGAGTGTTATCTGAAATAGCATTGCTGTAATAGTTTCAAATCTGTTTGCAGCTTCAAGGTGATCTTAGTTGTTATTGAATGTGTGTGTGAGTGTGAGCTGAGAAATACGGTTTTCATTCTTCATTTTGCAAAAGGCTGTGTTACTGAGATACTGTACCGAGGAATCCGTTTAGTCCTTCAGAGCACTTTGCAGTAGTTTACTGATTTTTACCAAGTTTTCTTTGGTTAGATTACCCAAAATACTTGTTGCAAAATATTTGTGTATTGTCTCTTTGTGGGCAAGCARAACCACTGTTTCTAGTTGCAGTGATGTATACCTTTGCAATTAGGTGCACATCAAGTTTATGGTGGGTGTGGGTTTGGATGTGAGGAGTGTTTGTGGCTTTCAGGCTGAAGCCTTGTCAGTAGCTGGCTGTGCCAGTCTCCCACGAGGAAATGATGGTTTGCTCCTCCTGATTTAAAGGTGGAAGATGCAGAAGAGGAACTGAGGGGCGAGTGGTTTCATGAAGGCGACTAAAGGCATCACCATCAAAGCAGGATTGACACATRAGAAATTGTTGGCTCTTGATGCTAAATTGCCGGTCCTTGTCCTAGACAAGTTTGAGATACTATCAATTACAGAAACACCCAGAGCGTTGTGATGGTGGGACAGGGGAATTTGAGTTTTCTTGTTTGATGAGGAATTTTTACTGCAACAACAAAGACCATGGTGGAAGAAAAATCTCCAACTCCAGAACCTAGAAAGCTCTGCTCTGGGAAGACCTTGTTATTAGGGGAGAAAAGCCAAAGATGCCGTGTAGTTTGCTCATGACTTAATTGCAGTTGAACAGTTTAACAAGTAAGGTAAAGTGAGGTGGACAATTTGACAGGTAATTTTGGTTCTTGCAGGAAGAAATGAAGACTGTTAAATTTTCGTCTGTCTTTTTCAAATTAATTTGGCTACTTGGAGATGGCAGTATGTTATTAACTGCAGTTGCTTGAAATGCCCTTTTTTCACCGGGAGCCTGAATGTCTGTTTTATCCATAGTATTGGGGTATGTGATTTGTGTACTCACAAATAACCAGTGGTCTTGTTTGCTAGCATGGCTTGTGGTTCTGTCAGCAGGATTGTGTTTTGTCTCAGTTGGCTCTCAGTTCCATGGAAAGATATGAGGAGGTCCTTAAAGTGATGGCTGTTTGGGGTATAKATGTCAAGATTTTCTGCTTCATCAGTGGTCCCAAGGGCTTTTGCTGACTGAGGTTAAATGTGACTTTAACGAACAGTGATGTCTTTGGAATGGGGAAAAAATGAAAATAAACAGGCAATCAATCCCCCACCCCCCTGATGATGAAGCAAGCTTATTTTCTGCCTGAATGAGGGCACCGATGTCTCTGTGGGGCTTGCTTCCTAGACTGAGTGCTTGCTTTCTCTCTCACAAGCTATAGAAGTGCTAGATGGAGGAGAGCTCAGTAGCTGAAGCTCAGCTCAAGGATGGGGAAGCTGAACAGAGCTCYTTTGGGCCAATAGAGGACCATGTTTGTGCTGCAGTGGTAATAAAAGTGTTTTATTGTTACTGCTGCAGAGTAGCTTGCTGGGTAGCCTCAACTTTCAAAACTGTCAAATAATTTCAGGTGCCTAAGCCCCTGGTTGGCCAATATGTTGTATCCAGGGGAATCTAGGAGCTAGTGCAACTGTTTGAATATTTAAGTAAAGCTTTTTAGTTAAGGTGAGGCCTGCTGTAGTCACTCCAGGTAGTGTGAGATGTGAGTGAGATCCCTCTACAAAGGTTTCCAATGGCTATCAAAAATGGAGAACCTCGCTTTTGGAAATACTAGCGTTGATATTTCTACACACTGAGTTTCTCATTACTGAGAATTCTAATGTGGATGCTGATAGAAACACTGATAATTGGATGGTTGTAAAATGTAATCACTATAGCCCTTGTTAATTTGTCAGATAAGAGATACTACRTGAGAGTAAAGTGCCATTTTTAAAAAGAACGAGAATGGTCATGTCATAGGAACAGCAGAATGTGTTATCTTGAAAGAAAATTCAAACACTCCCGACAGTCTGTCATACAAGATTTGTTTAAGTAAAAGCAAAGTTAGCTGGTGCTTCTTGGTTAACTGCTGTATTGAGCTTTTTAGTAATATTTTTGTAAGTGGACTTCGGTGGGACAGATTTTATTAAATCAGGGAAACCAAAAATTTCTGTCCTTCCTGAAGAGGTTTGTTTGTGGTTTTTCTCTGGTTGTGGTTTGTTTTTTTTAAAATCCTTGTAGGAACAAGAACATTATAAGCAAACCCACAAGTGTTAAAGAAAAAACCTACACATTTTCATCATGATAGGCACAGGTAGAGTTCAAGAACTTGTCAGGATTATGGTACCACTCCATCCTCCCCTCCCCCCCATTTCTGATACTTTTTTCTTCTATCCGTTAATGGTCAGGTTTTCCTTTATGTATTGTAAGAGTGTGTGTACCCTTCAATGTACCAATGTGCATGCACAGCAGTGTTGCTGTCTCTGATGTTCTYATCCGTGGAAGCCCACTGATACTGCCCTACTGACATCTTAACTCCTGTGAGCATTCTGTCAGTGGGGGTTAGGGGGAATAAGGGGAAAAGTCTATCCCAAAAATTCTGCAAGAGTGTTGTTAGTGTAGATGTGTCAACTAACGCTCTCCTGCTCTTTAGTTTTGGTTACATAATGGACTTAGCAGCCTAAACACTTTCTGGTGGGTTTTTTTTCCCTTACTCTTCTGCAGCTAGTTGCAAAGCAGCTATTGCATTCTGAGTGAATACATGAAAGAGCTTATTTTTGATTTAGTTTGGGGATCCAACTCATTCTGGGAAGCCTTCCCTGCCTCTTGACAGCAGTGAGATGGGCTGTGATTTCCAGGTGAGAGGACTGAGCTCACACACTTTTCTCACTTTGCTCCTGCTGAGGAGGAGRCAGATTTGTGTTGGTTGTGGGAAGGGAATGGGTTTCTGACTGCATTTGCATTCTCTAT